CTAAACTTCTGCATTTCTCGAACAGAAATAAAATAGTTATTTTTAAAGGTTTGGGGTTTTTTTAAAAAAAAGAAAGAGAGAGAGAGACGTTTTTTAATCATACAGAACACACTCTATTCCCATCTGTCTCACTCCGTGAACCCTCCCTGGGGCCACTGTGAGCCCCCTGATCCAATATTTAGGGAGCGAGAGAGAGAGAGAGAGAGAGAGACGTGTTTTAATCGTACACACTCTGTTCCCATCTGTCTCACTGGTGTCTCGACACCGACAACACCGCGGGAACCCTCCCTGGGGCTACTGTGAGACCCTTGATCCAATATTTAGGGAGCACATATGCCTTTAGCTAGGCAAATAACTCAGACATTAGAGTTACCAGGAGTGAAATTATAATTCGATAAGTTATGCCTAGAATGTAAGGTTGCTGCTTATACCTTCACTAGCGGGAAAGATAACAAATTACAAAAATTGTAAATTTGGTATGCTAGCTATCCATCTGGAATAACGTAAGTTAGTTTTCAGAACTAATTTGTTCCTGGTTCCTGTTAACAGAGTTTGAAAAATATTTTACCGTTTTTACTGGATATGTTACAAATGCTAGGGGAAGTAACTCGTTCTATGGTCATTTTTTTCATGTAACACAGGATAGATTTTTTTTGTGTCTAGAATGACCATAAAACCCGTTTTGCAAGTGGCTAGAAAACATCATTTTCTTTTCTACCTGTGGAGTAACAGGGATCTTACTTGTTACAGGATTTCCGCAATGTAACTTTGTTACACTCTAGTTAACTACTGTATGGGGAATTCTAATTTCTGTGACCCATTTCTTCCTGGCTCTGACATGAACGATGCGTGTTGAAAAATGTCTTTATCTCTTCTGCTAGCGTTCAACAGCGTTGAGGTGTGCTCCTTCCAGATTTTTTTTAAAAAAAGCACCGTTGTAGACATTGAGAAATATGATGGGTCTTCACTCAGCATTTTTTTTTCAATGAACAGCCGGGCAGGTGACAACGCACCAGGTGGGTCTAATAGCTGCCTGAGGTGCCCCTCCCAAGAGAGGAAATCGATAAGTGTCACTTTCTCCATCAGCTCCGTTTCCCTGCCCTCGCTTTGCCGCCTTTTGGGTCTGATTACTTATTGATCCAGAGGGTGGCTTCCATTAAGCCTGCTCTCTACCGTACCTGGCCTCCTTTCCTAACCGAAATGATGGAAAGTGTTGAGACTTTTCCTCAAAGGATTCTGGGAGCTGAAGTCCGCGAGGGCACCGGGAAGGCAGGCAGAAAGAAAGAAGGGTGGTCCTTGCACAGAACGAGATTCCCCAAGGTTCCCCGAAGAAAGGTGATCAAGGCCATTGCAGTAGTCGATGCTCTCCACTGCACGCCAGTGAGGAGCCCTGCATGCCACCCCCTGTGGATCCCCCAGGCCAAGACAAAAATAAAGCCCCAAAGGATGATGCTGCAGGTGCTGTTTGGAGGGGAGCAACAACCTGACACTGGATCCTCTTCCTGTATCTTCTCCTCATTTTTTGGCTCCATCTTCTCTGGCCTCAGCTGGGGCAGTCTCCCTTGCCAGGTGCCCGTTGCCCCCTGGCCCTTCCCGGAGGCACCGATGGAGCTGCCTCTTCCTCTTTTCTTGCTGCCTCCCACTTTTCCCAGCGTCATTGTCTTTTCCAGAGAATCCCGCCTTCTCATCGTGTGCCCCGGGTAGGACAGCCTCCGTTTCATCATTTTCACCTCCAGAGAGAGTTCAAGCTAAATTTGATCTTTCCACCCCAATATTAGGGTAGCAACGCGGGATGCTTTCCTAAGGGACATCGCCGTGGTGAGGCCTGAATGAGACTCCAGTGAAATAATCGGGCGAGACAAATCCAGAGGAAAGCCGAAATGGATTCTCACTTTGCTCCCACCCATGTGGCTCCCTTGGAAGTCCTGGTTTCGCATCCAGGGCCTCAAAAGTCTTCGTCGTTGGCACGCAGCTCGGCAATTGGGTGGCACACAGACAAAGTACCCATGGGTATACCAGTGAGAGCACGAAACCGAAGTATGGCCATTTGTTACTCTGCCAGAAGTTTGATTTCCCCAGGAGATCAGATCAGCTGTCTTGGCACACCATCGGCCCTGCGCATGTCTCGTCTTTGATGGGTGGTGCTTTTTTGGCTGAGCACACATTGAAGGTCACCATCCAAGATATCCCAGGCAGCCTCACACCATGGATAAAGGCCCCAGGACCCAGTCCATCACACAGGGTTTCAAATCCAAAGGGACTCACTGCGCAGCTGGCCGTGACCAAGCGGAGGCGGGAACACCGGGCTGGGAGCCAGGTCGCAGGACCGGAATGAGGCGCCCAGATGCAGGAGAGCAGCAGAAGCAAGGAGGGAGCAGTGGGAGGGAGTTCCAAAGCCTGGGAGCAGCCACAGAGAAGGCCCTCTTCTGTGTCCCTATCAAGGATGTGTGTGAGGGTGGTGAAATCAAGAGAAAGGCCTCCCCTGATGCTCTTAATGCCTGGGCAGGGTCCTAGAGGGAGATGCAGTCTTTTATTATAAAAATAATAATTGCAAAACAGCCAGCATGTTTTGTATGGATTCTCTTTTCTTCCCCGCCCCCCCCAATGCTCGATGTTGCATTGAGTACAAATAGCAGCAAGCAAACCAGCATAAACCGGAGAGGGTAGAAAAAGCCTCGCATGAGTTACGATGTAGTTTCGGAAATACAGAAAGGGTCGTTTGGGGACAAAAACCGAAGCTTCGCTTCCGCGGCTCGTGAGATTGTGCAGATGGGTCAGTGGGTCCTGAAGATGATTCTTGAGCCCTGCTTCTAAGCCATCAATTCAAACCCAAGCTGATTAGGGGTTTCGGTCCATTGACTCGGTTGTTGATTTGTTTGGAGAAAATATGAATCCAGCCATATGTTCAGGCCAAGTTTTCCTTTGCATCTATGAAATGCCGTTGGAATAAATTCCTGGCTGCGTGCCACGCGGTCCAATTGACACCTGCAGTTGACTTCAGCAGAACCAGCATCATGAAGTCTTGCCACACTGGGGCTGCCCTGTCCTGCAAGGGCTTATGCAGAGTGCTGTCAAAGAGAAAGATCGCTCTCAAATCAGGACACTTTCCTGCAGCTAGCAAACTCCACCGCCCCAAAATTCACCAGCAAATTCCAAGTGAAAATTCCCCAGCCTAAAATGTCCACTGAAACCACGGTGTGGCATTTTGAATCCAAACTAGGCAGCTTTTGAATCCGGGGTATCTCTCTGCTGGCTTGCTCCGAGCAGGTGTCAGGTATGAAACCTCCTAAACTATCTCCACTCAGCTAGGAAATCCGATTAGACACACGGTGAATTCACACAAGGCACGGATGTCACTTGGTATCTAATCACACAACAAATCCAGTAAGGCTTTCAGACAGATCTCCTAAACAATAGGATGATTGGGGGCGGGGGGGGGAATCTCTGCATTCAAACTTATCCTGAATTCTGGACTTTTTTGGAATTACCTGATTTTATTAGTGAACCACCACTTCTATATTAGTGACACACAATTCTTTTTCAGAACATTTTAGAAAGTCTAAACTTCAGACTTCTAGAGTGAATCTTCGCCGTCCGACCCCTTCTGCCGTACTGGCTTTATGCAGGTAGAGCAGATCAATTTATGGATCAAAACGTCGTAAAAAGGGGGGATGTGTAAGGTGATCACGCCATCTCGTCCGGACTTTGTTTCATGCTTTGATTTCATCCATGCCTACCTGTGCTATCGCAACACACACACAAAATGAATCCTTCAGTAGTCACACCTGCATGGAGGAGAGAGACCGGAAATGATTTTTAAAACATGCAGAGATTGTGCACCCACCAGTTCTGGAATTAATTGTAGAAATTCTCCAGGACGAGCTAGAAAGCAGGCGGGGTGAAATCTGAGAAAGAGAGGCATCCCGCCGCGCAGGATGAGAAGAAAGTGAAAACAGGCACGTTAGCATTGTTTTTTGTGGATTATGTTTCTTTCAGATCCTGGGAGGTGGGTACCAATTGGCGTCTACGCCGATTAGTCTGTGATGCTCATTTCACACGTGACGGCCATGGGGAGCCACAATGGCGAGGGGGAAAAAATCCCAAAGATGATGAGCACCTGGGACAACCATCAATGTTTATCATATCATTTTAGAACTGATCTCAAGAGCTAGTGGACCACAATGCCCATCAAGATAGCTCGGTGGCTTGTGGAACCTGAGGTTGGGAGTTCGATTCCCCCCCCGCTGCCCCCAAGCCTCCTTAATGGGCTGGACTGGATGATCCAGAGGGTCCCTTCCAGCTCTGCCGTTCTAAGATGGTGATCTCCACGGCAGGGCCACACTAGCTGGGAATGGTGGGCATTGTAGTTCAGCACCCGTCAGGCTAGGAAATCCTGCAATACATTGCTTTTTTTATTTATATTGACAGAACAGTGCCGCAGATAAGCTAAGTAAAGGTTTCGGTGGCCTTTTATATATATATATATACAACAGGGGTGGGTAGAACCACGTTGTGGAAGCATTTCCCCAATTTTCAGGCGTGCATAGGCCACCATAAGGCTGTGCACCTGCTTGCATGCACTAAAATAATAAACACATTTATGATTTTAGAAGGCGCACGCTTTCCACTTCCCACACACAGACACACACCAGTGGGTACCCATGAGATCCATGGCAGGGAGCGTAAAAGACCCTGCCTTTTGGCACACCCATGCCCACCCACTTATATCTTCATCTCCCTGGAGGTTGTTTGCTCTCTCCCAGGCATATGACTTCCGAATTTCTTCTTTGCCATCCCTTCCGTCTCCATCGCAGCCCTCTTTGCTTTTGGCTGTGAAAAGAATTGGGTCAGTGAGGTAACCATGGCAATACTTAAGTGAGAGCGTCCCCCCTCCCCTCCCCATCCTCTCTCTCTCAGTTCCCC